AAATTTATTGATAAAATTAAAAAATTTTTAATTTACTAACGGTTTGATACAAAAAATTACGTAAATTAGTTTTTTTAATCCACTAGCAATTTAAATTCTAAACACTATTAATTAATCTCAAACCACTAAATAAAATTTTTTAACAGTTTGTTTGTAATGATTTCCGAAATATATAAGTTTACTAAATATTAGTAATTTAAGCAAAAACTGTAAATTGTTACTTTAAAACCATTATACCAAATGTACCTTAAAACAGAAACTGAATCCAATCACTTAAAGAAAATGCGAAATCTTCGATTTTCCCTTTAATCCACACAACAGACTTGATCTGCGTAAACTCAAACAATCTATCTTCATTCTACGTAATGTCGCTTTCTAAACACAAGATTATTCCTTTCCAACCAAATTGCCCATTGCACTTGGCAGAAATAAAGGGAACCTACCTCCCTGTTATTCTTGCTAAACAAACCCAGCACAAATTGCACACATAAATCAGAAATTGACTCCTGGCAAAACTAAAGAAACATTCCACCACCTGCAGCACTTCATCCAAATTTTCCAAGGAACACTTGCAATTTTAGAAATAAATAACTTACAGATTCGTCCTTTGCACGGCGTAGAGGGATTACAAATCTGAGCCAGAATCGATCATTTCAATCCTCTTTTAATTAGATTATCCTTTGTTTGCAATTTGTTAAGCAAGATTCTCCACACCAAAACACTAACTTTAGAAGGATTGAGACCTCCCCACATGCTAGTGCACAGCTGCCTTTCAAGGCAACCATTTCGGGTCGCATATTAAAAGCATCCTTTGTTGTGTATCCCGATCTCCCATTGAATCTCCACTCTCTTTTATCATCTGTTAGTGGTATAGCGAGAACTTTTTTTTTAGAGTGACTAAATGAAATTAAAAAAAATATATATGCATCTTTGCATTAATTAAAAAGTTAATTAAAAAGTTAATTAAAGGCAAAATTTTAGTAAAAAATTATTTTAAATTAAGATTTATTAGTCTTTAATGATAAACTAATATTAATTGATAGTGTAATATTATATATGACATTAACTGAAAGATAAAATAAATATATATTAAGTAAAAGGATACTAATAAACAATAAAACAAAGATAAAAGGGTATTAATAAACAAAAAAGAATATTAAT